CTGGCGGGGCAGTGGAGGCTGATAAGACGAGCTCAAGCAGATAGAGCATTGTGGCAAATTCACTAGGAATTTACCACGTTATTTTCCAGGGAGAGTCGGAGGTCAACCTGACGTGGTACATTGTGCATGAATGATTGATTGATGAATTCGAATGGGATCCATATTACTAACAATTCCCTGAGTCAGAGATTCTTGTAATTCCACTCCTTATCAATCAGGAATCTCGACACAGCATACAAAGCAAGCTTGGTAAGCTGTAGGTGAAATAGGTAGAATAATGTCCCCACATCTTACTGTATATTATAAACTCTAAATTATGTGAGTATGGATGGATGTTTGTAACTCTTTCCGGCAAAAACTACTGATGTATTTCATGAAACTTTACAGTAATGCAGCTTATCAGAATAACAAATAGGCTTCGATTTAAAAATATATTATTTAAATTGGGCGAAATATAATGATAAATGTCAAGTAAGTATGATGCAGACGTTGTTCCGCAGGTCAGCTAGTAGATGATATATTACAGATTACCTGTAGTAAGTACCTTGTAGAGTTTTGATTAAACGAAGGGCTAAATGCAGCCTGGATGTTTTTAACAGCGTCGAAATATCGGATGCTAACTGTGTTACTAAAATTATAAACGCAGAAGTTTGTGAGTGTGGATGACTGGATCTGTTACTCGTTTACGCAAAAATTACGGAATGTATTTGAATGGAACTTTACAATAATGTAATTTATATAACACATATACTATAAATTTAATGCAGGAGAAACCGTTGGCACAGTTAGATAAGTATTATTTTATTACTTATTACTTTTGTTTATTCTAATAAATTTTTATTTGCAATTCTGTGACACACACACAACTTCCTGTGTCACGCTATTAAGTGTGTAGGAAGAGATCTGTTTTAGAAATAATCGTTGTTAACAATATTTATAACATTTATTTCAATTTTTGTATTTAAAATTGCAATGAAGAATATAAGCATACCGACAGAAAATATCTATGACCTTTTACTGTCATTGATTTCACAGGCACAAGAGCTTGTAGCTTTATATAAAGAAGATATATATCAGAAATTCCCAAATAGGTCTAGGTGGACCCCCATTGTATTCGACAGACACGAGTGAAAAGTTGAGCTGACATAAAAAATGGAGATCCACAATTTGTATGTGGAAAAAATAATTTATATCATATCATATAGTATCCATAGTAAAAAACAAAAATGTTAGCTTGGGTTTATCAAATGTTATTTGAATAATAAAGATGCATTTTAGAAAACAAGAAAATTAAATTAATAAACAAAAATATTTTTTCTTTTATCACTTCGAATTTTGAATTATAACTCGGCTGTAAATTTTAAATTGGAATTCATTTAAATGTGACATCAATTATTCATATTTTATGACGAGTTTTGGGAATATGATAGAAAAATCAAAACAATGAGTAATACGTTGAAAGCAGTTTATGAGAAAGTTTTGGACCCTCTGGTTTCAAGCTATTTATAAAATAAGATATTTATAAAAACTTATCTATATTATAATACAGTAGCTTAATAGTAACATAATTATGAGGAAAATCCCATTTATATGTGTAAAAATTTAATATAAAATTATATTTTTTTTAGAGTTTGTATAAAATCTAGATGACATTTATGTATTTTATAATTTCTAAAATATATAGTCCAAGATTGTAATTATTAATTTTCAATAACCTACAGAAAATCTTACGCCATCATTTCGTGAAACAATATTGTTAAGCTAAGCTTAATTTTCTAACATTCGACATAAAAGGTTGCAAAACTGGGTTATAGATCTTCACACTACATGTGTAAAAATTGTCCATAGGTACATAATTTATTTTTATTTAAAACAATGTAACAAAAAAAAACACTCACCTGTATACTGCGAAAATACTAATAAAAAAAAATATTTATTTCAGCACACGTTAAGTATCGGCAAATATGTAAAATGCAGAACAATTGCGACACGTCTACTATGGGGTACGGTCAGGTTAAGACTGGTTGTTGTGCAGTGGAGCTTGCGCCTGCGCAGCCTGTAATTTGTAGGCTACAGATGAATGGATTCCTACGTCCATTGAAGTAGTTGTCTGGTAAGCAATTACTACGTTATATATGTATAAAATAGGTCATCTTTTATAATTATTTTAATTTATTCCGGAATACAGCAATGTGGTCTAGTAGTAGTTTTAAGTAGTAACTTACTTCCAATGGTCGTCGGTTCGATTTCTCGTACGGTGTGTTTACACCGTATTCATGAATAAAAAGGTTTCTTTTTATTCATGAATATGATTGTTTGTATTGGTTAAACTGTTTTATAAATATGTATTTACAAAAAAAAAGTATTTATATCAGTTGTCTAGAATTTATAACACAAGCTCTTAGCTTGGGACTAAATGTCGCTGTGTGTATTTTCCAGGATTATAATTATTACTATTAAGGGTCCGCAATGATGACGTGAATTTCTGATTTTCAGGCGGACATCGGACCCGGTAAACTAAAGACTACGGACATAATCTTTGGTTAACCTTCAGATGGCCCATATTTTTTTAATGAATGATAATGGAATCGTGTACTCGCTTGCGCAAACGGTTTATGCTGGCAGGGCACCAGTGGAAGGTTACAAAATGACCATAAATGATCAGGTCAGTTAGTCCATCGTGACGAATTCACTAGGAATTGATGATGATTCTTTTGCGTAAACCACGCGAAGACCTGCCATGGTACATTGCCAGCAATGGGATCATTAAATTCAAATTCAAATTCAAAAATCATTTCTTCAGATTTTAGCGTCTTATGAACGTCAGATTTTTACATTATGAATCTTTTTCAACGACCGTCCAGTTCGTATATAGTGATCGTTGAAAATAATTAAAAACACTCAAATTATTTTTTAAAAAATCCAGTTTATATATTTTTATATAGCCCGCGGTTTGTCTAACATTAAATCTTATATATAAAATATCTCGTGTCATTCAATCGTTATAAATAAACTGTCATCTATGATTTAACAGTTTATTTAAGTTTCCCATATATCCTTTGGTGTCTTATTATAAATTTTTATGCCTATTCCCATATTCTCTAAATGAAATTTTTGTCTTTAAATCTAGTATTAATATTATGAATATTGCTGTTTTATGGATCATATTACTATTTTTATTTTATTTTACAACAAAATCAACGTTTGCCGGGACATTAAAAAACACCATATTGTGAATTAAAGCAATTATATATCTTTAATATTGTGTGTGTTGTATGTAGTTATTCTGGTTCATAAGCTATATTACTGTAAAGCTTCATCAAAATCCGTTCTGTATCTTTTGCCTGAAAGAGTAACAAACATCCATACTCACACTCACACACTCGCTTTTATAATATTAATAAAAAATATTTCAATAAAATCAGTGGTATATCAATATTGAAGAGGAGTAAAACAACAAACGACACTCGTACTCTTGAAAACAAAGTGTTCTCTAAAAAGGAATAAATTATTAAGGATTTAATAATATTATTTGTTGGAGTTTTCAACTACCACTGTCCCCGATCTATCCCCCGTTCAACTCAAACGGGGATCGAAATTACGACAACCTAAAACGAGGTTCGAACCCCTAGCGGTGCCCTCAGTCTAAAGTGGTGTCCGTAAGGTGGGAGTTGACCTTCAACCATTCCATAAATTCTTCCTTTGGTTTGGAGTGTCTTCAGCACCCGCCCCCTATCAGTGAAGCTGTAAAGGTTGCTATCAACAGCATTAGTGTAGTGAATGAAAATGTTATAAAGACTGCACTTAGCACCATCTATTGATATTGTACTCTCACTAACATAACTACCGGGTCACACTCTCCATAGATCGCTGATCTTATGCTTTTTTAATTACATGTCCCTAACCATCAATAGATGGCGCATTGGTTTAATTTATTTTCTAACACTTTTAAAATCTTATATATAAAATTCTCGTGTCACAGTTTTCGTTCCCATTCTCCACTGAAACGGCTTGACCGATTCTGATGAAATTTTGTAAGCGTATTGAGTAGGTCTGAGAACATCGTCGGCCAACATCTATTTTTCATCCCCCTAAATGTTAGAGGTAGTCCACCCCTAAATTTTATTTAGTATTTTAAGGCAAAACAACATTTGCCGGGACAGCTATTTTTACTACAAAATTGAAGAGATTTTAAATGATAATAAAATTTTTGTAGAAAAAAGTTCATAGCGGGTACAATATTATCTGATTGCTCTAGGAATAAGTGTGTAGTGTTTTCTATGTTGATTATCGTATGCCTCTTACTTGTTATTATGTAATTATTTATTTGAATTTGAACATTTATTCAAAACAGCAACACACAAGTTTCTTGCTCATTGTTCTTGTGATGAGTCTGCGTTCCGAAGGAGCGGTAGAATAAAAAAAATAGGCCTATTCAAAAGCTTGTATTGAGTTTATTTGAATAAAGAATATTTATTTATATTACATTTGAAAGAATATATATGAAAGTTGCCTGTGTAATCTTTACATATAATAAAATCGTGTAATTGTAACAGATGAAAAAACTGTGTATTAAGGTTTCACATTCAAACATCTTTGGGATCTTCCTAGACAGACAACAACCCCGGACTGAGCCCCCCGATGGCATCTTTGGACTCGACTTAAAATTAAATATAAAAGCTATACATGTTTCTATGAATATATCTATATATATATTCATAGAAACATGTAGATTTTGCAAATTTACATGTGTATCTTTTATATTTTAGTCTAAGAGTTATCCATAGTAATATAATAAGAATAAAAATTATATTTTTCATCTTTGTTTTTTTGGATAAACTCTATAATAGATGGGGAATTTTAAGAATTATTTCACTTACAATGGGTATTTATATTTATGGCAGGATATGTATGCATATTGTAATACATCTTGTAACTTAACCATGATTAAAGCAAATAAATCAATTACAATACAATTGTTATATAATTTTTATTAAAGAATATACAATTATATATAAATACACGTGCATTTTTTATAGTTTCTTCTCTGGTACTGAGGTTTTCTCCCACTTTCGTTTGTAACTATTGATGTAGAATTTTATGAATAAAATGAAGAAAAAGCTAATGTTGCCAGTGCAGAAGTAATGGAAGTACCACGGTATAGGGCACGGTGACAGCTTTTGCTGGTAATGCAGGTCAAGGACCACGAGGATGAATTGAACCTGAAAAAATTTTTTAGGTAATTGGTTGATGGTAGTATTTGCACTAAGGCGCGTTCAGTTACTTTTGTGATATAAATAGATAGATATGTTTTTTTGTAAATCCATAAATAGTAGATACAAACAATCACACTCAATAAACAAATGTTTATACCGTGCGAGGAATCGAAACCGCGACCATCGGAAGTAAAACGCTCTGCTAAATCACAAGACCACCGAGGCCGTCAAATGTTCATAATATGTGTTTTATAAAATTATATATATTTAATTAATATCTTGTCCTCCCAAAGTGGTAGTACAAAGTCCCGAAAAAAATGACAATATTGAAGGATTACAATAGAAATATATTTACTCCAAATATTACCATAAACAAATATTCTAAATGTTCTGTGAATAAATTGCGATATTAATATAGATTTTAATGAATATTTACATAATTAAATTGCTGTTTAATGATAATTAACAGATTATAATCGCAACTTACAAAAATACGATGCCACTACTATTAAATCGCATATTTTGAATAATATTCCTTGATAACTCACACTTCGCTATATAGTCCCAAAGTAAGTAGAGCTTATGTTATGAATACTAGATAAATTATATAAATACTTAGATACATTATTTTTTGTAAATACATTATATACATAGAAAACACTCAGACTGATATAAACAAACATACTCATGGATACAAATGTTTACACCGTGCGAGGAATAGAATTCTCGACGATCAGAAGTAAGGCGATGTGCTAAACCACTAGACCATCGAGGGCAACGGCAGTCTAAGGCAACCTAAGCACATGTCTAGGGCCCGATAATTAGGGTTTTAATTGCAATATTTATTGGGAGCAAAAGGATTGTTAGTAATATGGAATAATAACCACATTGCTACCAATGTACCATATCAGGTTGACCTCCAAGTGATTCACCCTAGAAACCATCATGATAAATTCATCGTAAACTTACCACGGCTACTAATCTAACCTTATGCTCATCTTATCATCCTCCACTAGTGCCCCGCTAGCGTAAACCGTTAACGCAGGTGGGTGCACCATTCCTTTATCATCCACAAATTTGTAATTTTTATTTAAGAGAAACACATTGCCTTTATCCTTAGTCTGCCATTGTTCGAGGGTACCCACAATCAGACTACTATACTTACCAATTGAATTTTAGTCAAATGTTTTTTCCACCAAACATATTTAGCGAACTCTGGTCCCAGCGAAGATATTCCGTAATAGGCATACATAAGAACGTGTACAAAACTGTTCAACAAGCCCACAACGACAAAATTATCCGTTGGAAAATGTACATAATGCAGCCACGTCCAAGTTACCATCACACAATGGTGGTACACATGGAGGAATGATGCCTGATTATCCTTCTTACGGAGTATGAAAAATACGGTATCCAAGAGGTCCAGGTGTTTTGCGATAAAATATATATAAATGTCACTAATAAGCTGCAAAAAAAATTAAATAATTAGATATATGTAGTTCGAATTAACTTTATTTTTTTACAGATTAATATATTATTATCTGTGGGCATTAAATAAATCTGTATTATCTTTTATTTCACATATAGTTATTGTTCTATACAGAATAATTTTCTTCTAACCTATTCTAAATTTCCTTTCGGGCAGAAGCTAATCTAATCTAATTACTAATGTCGTTTTGCCGTATAAAATGTAATTATGCCGGATTATAAATATGCCGGATTGTGTGTATGCTGAACAATAAAAAAAAATTGTCCCATAAATAAGAAGAAAAGGGAAAATTATGATTAGGGGTTGATTGTAGAAAGTTGAAAATAGGCACATGAAAATAGGTGTGTATGCCGAAAAATATTTTTTTTCCCATAAAAAAGAAAAAAAGACGGGGAAAATGTGAAGCAAACGAAATCGCGCGGGTCTGCTAGTGCATATATATCTTCAAGACTATTATTACTAATGCATTGGCAACTGAACTCAACTCCTGACATTTGGTGGTTGACTACATTTAAAATCAATAAGAATAAACTTATAAATCTTTAACATTTTTTAACACTTTCTGAGACTGAATCGAATTTGAATTTTTCATAAGAGTTCATAAGAGTTTTATAAATTCTTTCCACTTTTTCTTTTTGTCAAAATATTCAGTTATATGAATATGGAAAGTTTCCTTCAAGGTACATTCTACTTTGTTACCTTATTTGATCTGTAAACAAAATGTGGTAGCAAACCACGTGAGTTTTTCTTACCTCTTTTAAGTCTTCACCTTTAGGACAACCAGTGGTAATTATTCCATGTCTCAATATATATCTTGTATACTGAAATAAGAGAAAAATAAAATAACTGTTGATGTTGTGTTTGTGGAATCCTGCCGAGCTACTCCTCATCCCACATGTAATGATAAATATCAAGTAAGTGTTATGCAGACAAAACTGCGCGGGTCAGCTAGTATACAACAGCTAGTATAAAAGTTCCTCTTAAACTACTGTATGTATTGAAAACTGTATTAAAATAATATAAAAAACTAACTGTGCCCGCGATATTTAAGCAAGTAAGTAAGTAAGTAAGTCATTTATTTGCATTAAACTAAAGCTGTATGTAATATGAAAAGCATGCAAATTTTATTAATAAAAAAATTACATACATTAATATCTACATTATAACAATTACATTAATATTACATATTTAAAATTATAGATTATTAGCACTATTACAATTATTATTACTTTATTTGTATTTATAATATTTTTAATTGAAATAATCGTCCAGAGAGTAAAACAGTAACAATCATTTGGTTAATTTATTTTTAAAATTATGTTCATTTATTCTGCAAACTGTTATATATTTTGTGTGCAAACATTTTTTTAAATATGTTACTTTTGGGCAACACTAACAACAATGTTTGTTTTTTTTGATAGTGGGATGTAAACATAGATAAATTCTGTTTTACAAACAAATATATTTTATATTTTAAACAAACATTATTACGTAAAGTTACTTACATTAAAAACCGTTCAGTAGTTTTCGCGTGAAAGAGTAACAAACATCCATTCATACATCTCCATACATTTATCCATTCATACACACAAATTTTCACGTTTATAATATTAGTAAGATCTAAGCGTAGATGTAATGACAGTGATTTTTCATACAATATAAAGATATTGTTCTCTATAAAAAAGATACTTACAAGAAACACTAAATATGCAGAGTATGTGACCTGAAAACCGTTGTAAAACTTTAATACGTTTTTAAATTCATAAGCTGGTCTAGTTTTCATAAATGCAGGGAGAATAATCTTTATCATCACTAGATAGGTTACTAGGACAACAGCAATGGCTGGTAGTGTTTGTTCCAGAGGCCATCCTCGGATTGAATCTGCAATGAGTAAATTATACAGTTATTAAGTTGACCAGCCCTTTGGTAAATAGCAACTGTCGCCGCGAGAAGGAATCCAAGTAGTAGTAGAATGTTTGTAAGTGTCATACTTGGAGGTACAAAAAACAAATATATATATACATATAAAAAAAAGGTTAAATAAAAAAATGTCCCCAAGTATGGCACTACGTTTAGAAAGTTAGGTTAAAGTTAGGTTAGGTATTTTATAATTTATACTCGCGCTAGAGGCTTTAAACCCAGTCACCCGGAGGTTGTAGCCTCCGGAATTGATGCCGGGGTAAATGGATTCGCCCCGAGGCCCCAACCGAGCCCGAGGAACCTCCCTCAGGGAGAGCGGATGACCAGACAGTGTCTCCTTAATACATGAGATACATTAAGTACCGAGATATACTTTGTGAAGCAAGCCACCATACAACTTGTTTTGTAAACGGTATTTCAGTTGATGGGTGAGATCTGGCAGTTAAATTATAGTGTACCTATACATTAAAAGGCGTGTAATGTTATTGGTACTGAGTAGTAACGCATAAGCAGTATCTCGGGCGATACATGATAATGTAATGTCCCTCCATGAAACCTTTCTTGAATCCTTTATTGAATGATTATAATGGCATGGTGCACTGCATTTTAGCTGGCGGGACATCGATGGAAGGCAATAAGATGAGCATGAGGTAACGTTAGTTAGCCCATCATGGAAAATTCACCAGGTATTTAGAACAATGGTTTCCAGGAAGTATGGTATATGGAATGGAATCGTGTGTATGACCTACACACGGTTCTCCCTGGAAGCTGGTATGACACATAGCTTACAATCCCATTACCTCCAGAAACTATTAATTTCAAATATGGAGACAAGGGAGAAAGTGTATTATTCATAATGTTGACTGATGGCCTCATTGCTACAAATGCTTTTGAAGGTCGGCCTCCAAGCGGTTCCCACTGGAAACCATTATAATAAATTGCTAATTAATTTGTCACGATGGGCTAACTAGACCACTTAGCACATCGTGACAAATTCAGAAGGCCTCATGCTTATTCCATCATTATCCACTAGTGCTCTACATGCGGATACCGTTAGTGGGTGCAACGGCCGATCCTTGGAGGGGGGGGGGTCATGGGGGTCATGACCACCCCATGAGCGGGTTCCAGGATTAAGGTGGACCACAAATTGAACATAATGATTTTATTTATATATTTTGTCACCATGCAGATTATATGTAACTACAATACAAACCTTCAATACTCAACTAATTTAATGTAATATAATAACTTTGTACATTAATAAAACACCTACTTTTTATTTGTATCTATTGTTATTAAAATTAAATTATAAGTTCTTGACTTGACCACGACTATGTGACCCCCTCCTGGCGCCAAAGCTGGATCTGCCCTGGAGTCGGTGCACCATTCCATTGTCATCCATTTTAAAACTATGCACAGTAAGGAATAAAATTAACTCACCTGAATTTTGTATTTCTTCATATTCACCTATACCCATTTTAATATTATCAAAACTAAATTTAACTAATAATAACCACGCAAATGATATCACTCACTAACGTTTTCGTCCAGTCGGGACTGCCGGTCGATTAAATTAATGAATAATCCTAAGTAATCTGAATTAATTCTACCGATCGATTTCTATTGTATTCAAATTATTTCGACCATACATGTTCAATTAAAAGTTACATCACACACAAGCAAGAAAGTACTTAAATAATAACCATTCTGTTAAATCACAATATATACCTAGTATTCTTGCAAATGTTCTTTTTATTTTTTCATGTTTTAAGCCCAAAGAGGAAAAAGAAGATACCTCTCACCTCTTTTTTTATTTTTTTACAGATATAATGTATTTTTAGCTGGTATTTTGAACATTTGGAAACAGGCAAATTTACAATGCCGAAAAATTTTTCGGCATTGTAAATTTGCCTGTAGCTTTGTTGTAGGAGTTACACGAATATTTCTTGTATGCTTATTGCGTGTGAAATATATATTTTCATTGCTCTGTGATATTATGGTGTCTTAATTCTAATTATACTTAACATGATTTATATTCCGAGTGGAGGTTTCCACCACCAGCATATTCTGTTGCACCAGCGTATTCTCTACTATACTATAGATGAAAAATCTAAAAAAATATATTACTATAACTTGTAGGGCCAGTCCCTACAAGTTATAGTAATATATTTTTTTGCTGCTCTATTATAAATATAAATATATATATAAACAAATAGTTACTTGAGTAATTTATTTTGTTATTCAAGTGACTATTTGTTTACTTATTTGGCAGATTGTATTCACACAAAATTCTTAATAATGTAATTCAGAACAACATTTATAAAAAAGAGCAACACTAAAGTTTCTTTCCCATTCTTCTTGTGACGAGTCTGCGTTGGGAATGAGTGGTAAAATCTAAATAATATGACTATTCTGAAGAGGTTATATTAATTGTATTTTAATAAAGATTACTTCTATCACAGTTAACATAATATTACTTACTTCTATTATATTGTCACGATGATGCAAAGATCTGTTATTTCCTACAGAATGTTAATAAGTTGCATAATAGTAAACCCTCCATGGGTTAAAAAATAGTTCATCGCCATCATCGTCGCAGCCCGGAAGACGTCCACTGCTAGACATAGGCCTCCACGACGATCGGTCCTGCACTGCTCGTTGTTGTTGTTGTTATTGTGGTTGTTGTTGTGGTGGTGGTGGTCGATATTGTTGTTGTTGTTGTTGTTATGCACTAGTCTTTAATTCATTAAATAGATTTATAACCAGAAGCGCGAAACAAATCTCTAACTAACAGACATGAATCACCATTCTATTTACCTACTATTATAAAGTCAGACAGGTTCAAATTACTTTTGAGTGAAGGTAGTAATGCAATGATGTAATAACTAATCGAAATACTAATAGTAGATGCCAAAGACATTGCAATAAAACGCGTGTGACCCCAATTTTGCCATATTAATTGGTAGTAACTCTAAGGGTCACTAGGTAGATTTCAATCAAATTAAAAATGGAACAGATTTTTAGCTGCTATAGTACTGCTAATATTCACATCGTGGTCCATTGTAACCGCCAGAAGATGGAAGAAAATGAAGCAGTTGTTTTCTCACGAGTCACTTTCTTCACTACAGCATGGGGTTTTTCACGAAGGGAATATTAAGGTTTCTTAAGGGTCGGCAACGCGCACGTGATACCCCTGGTGTTTCAGGCGTCCATAGACTACGGTAACCGTTTACCAGCAGGTGGGCCGTATCCTTGTTTGCCACCTTCGTGGTATAAAAAAAAATTGTAGCTATGTACTTAAATATACATTAGTTAAATATACTAATGAATATATTAAAATTTAAAATAGAAAATATATCTAACGGGTAGCGGTACCGCTAGTAACAATGCCTTGTTCCTTTATAGCAGCCTGAAGATGGAAGGAAATGGAGCAGTCGTAGCTATTTACATATGTATGTTTGTTGAAGTATTTACAAGTTATACAAGAAAGGGAAATCGATCCCAAATAACATCTGACGGTTTATTACACCGCCTAACTTCCGATGGTTGCGGGTTCGATTCCTCGCACGGCACAAACAATTGTATTCGTGAGTATGATTGGTTATATCAGTATTGATGTTTTTTATAAATAAAATGTATTTACGAAAAAAAATATCTATGTATTTGTATCAGTTATCTAGCTTTAGCTAGCTTAACTTTGGGTCTAGATGGCGCTGTGTGAATTGTCCTAAAAAAAAAATAAGGCTTAACAACAATGTTATTTTTCTTATTCGCGTCTTAACTAACAACGGTGTTGCTGCATGTTTTAGATCCATCCGGCCTGCGAGATCCATCCTCAGCAGTCTGCAACGCTAACACACGATTCATGGAAGGGCAGCATTCCGGAGCGTTATTATTTCATTCATTATTTTTGCTCTTAGTGTTACATCAATTAATGTATGTTATTGAATATTTTAAATAAAATCATTCTATTTTAAGAACTTACGCATTCGCAACAGGTTCCCAATTTTCTTGTCTTTATTTCTTTGTTTAAAGTCTTACAACTTTTTCTACATTAATATTATTTTATAACTAGCGAATTCATATTTATACTTTTTTATTCTAAAACAAAAAAAAAATACTAAACTAAAGATATCCTGTATTACTACATGCATATGAATATATATACGGCACAAAAACGGTTACTTCTATATTATAAACAGACACTCCAATTTTATTTATATGTATGTATAGATTAAATTGTTAACTTATTAAACCAAAAAAAGAGTAATAAAATAGTCTTAAGCTATATGACATTATATTAATATAATAATAAACATATAGATAGATACACTTTCGTATTTGTATTATTTGTAACTAGCTACCCACCCTGGCTTCGCACGGGTGTATACCCGTATATGTATATATATTATACATATTAACCTTCCTGTTGAATCACTCTATCTATTAAAAAAAAACGCTTCAAAATCCGTTCCATAGTTTTAAAGATTTAAGCATACATAGGAACGGACAGACAGCGACAGCGACTTTGTTTTATACTATGTAATGATAATAAGTAAGTATTAGTTCAGATGAGGCAATAAGAGAAAAAAGTAACGACGAACCGGTTTCAGTAAAAAATAACAATACATATTATATAATTGAGAGCAGTACATCTGTACGTATGCTCTACTATATCTCCTGACATATAGTAGTTCCACTTATCATTCTACTACACTTGTATGTAGTTAAGCAACTTCTAAATAAGTTAGTTGCACTCATTTTGATGACCTCGGTGGTCTAGCGGGTTAGCACACCGCCTCACTCCCGATGGTCGCGAGTTCGATTCTCGCACGGTACAAATGTTGTATTCCTTGGTATGATTATTTGTATTGGTCTAGGTGTTTTTTAGGTATATTATGTATGTATTTACAAAAAAAAGTTGTCTAAAACCTACAACACAAGCTTTGCTTATCGTGGGACTAGGTGGCGCTGTGTTAATTGTTCAGGATTATTTATTATTATTATTATTTATTTATATAATTGAGACCAGTACGCAGGCTCTACAATGTCACTTGACATATAAATAATCTCAGGACAATTCACACAGCGCCATCTAGACACATATTAAGCTACCTAAAGCTTGTGTTATGGGTACTAGATAACTAGTTATGGGTACAAATGGTTATGTTTCTTTCGTAAATACATACATATTATATATATATAGTAGTTCCACTTACTATTCTACTATACATTTGTATATAGTTAAGCAACTTCTAAATAAGTTAGTTGCTCTCATTTTAGGTACTGGACAATTGCAACATGGTATATGAGAAGGGAAGGGGCTTTTGCTTTGCTGACCCCATTGCAAGCTATGAATGTCAGGTTGACCTCCACGCGGTTCCCCCTAGTAATCATCATATTAAAATCCTGGTGAATTAGTGCCGATAGCACACTGACCTGACCTCATTCTTATCTTATCATCTTCCACAGGCTCCCCGCCAGCGTAGGTTAGCGCAGGCGGGAGTACCATTCCATTATAATCTATTAAAAAAAATACATTATACGGATACAGATAAAGTCACGGGAAACAGCTAGTTTGTTATAAATTAGTTTCAGCCAAGCCTATATACGATATAGTCGTATATAGTTGCCTAGTTACGACGTTTAAGAAAAAAATAACTAACCTATCATTCGAGACCGAATTGCTTTCTTGTATACCTATTCGAAATACTTCATAAATATAAATATATACTTAGTCATAACCTGGTCAGATTCTCTCCACATCCCTCTTCCTGATGCTGCTACAAGGACCACACAATACAATACATACATAATAGCGGATCCATTTCTTGTATATATATATAGTACCAATTGTAAATACTTGTTCAATATAAATATGTACTTAGTCATAACCTGGTCAGATTCTCTCCACATCCCTCTTCCTGATGCTGCCACAAGGACCACCATACCCATCATAATTCTGCTACGAAGTGCTGGAATAATATACCTCCTCCTATAAAAGATTCTTTAACTGTGCAGATTTTTAAAAATAAATTAAAAAAAATACTCCTCCTCACACAGAAAACTGTGCCGTGATGTGTCTGCACTCCAAAAGCGGGGTAATGCAGGGTAATACTAGTGTCACCAGAATTTATGTTTTCAGTGTGTAGTTTATGTTTGATGTTTATTTATATATGGTAGTATGTCGTAAATGTTTGCTTTGTGTTGTCCGCCTGGATTTATGTATGTATGTGTATTATTATTATTATTTTATTATGTTTATTATATATGAAGGTGTCTGCTGAAAACCAGCGTCGTGGCACCCCGTCACGACATATGCTGAGCGGAGACCTAGTTGGTACTCTAATTATTAATATAAAATGTAAATTAAATTTTAAAAATTATTTTCAGTGTACCAAATAAACAATTTTCTTTCTATCTTTCTTTCATAATCTCCCCCCAACATATGTAATCTCTAAAAATCAGTCAAGACTGATTACTTTATTTTAACTTATGACACACATTACATCATTCAGTTTTAGTTGTTCCTAGTATTTAACCTGCTGTAACCTTTCAAAA